ATGAATTTGTTTCTTCATCAGATTTGGAGAAATGTGTCATTCCATCAGTGTCTCAGCAATGGATGCTCTGCAGTGAATGGGTGCCGTCAGAATGAGAGTCCAAACAGCTGATAAAAACATTACAGTAATCCACAAGTAATCCACACAACTCCAGTCCATCAGTCGTATGTAACAAATAGCTGTTTGCTTGTAAGAAACAAATCCATCACTAAGGCGATTTATCTTTATCTAACTTTTTTAACTTCAACCATAGTTTTTATTTGTTGGTGAACTATTGCTAGAAGAGTGATGGTCAATATTTTTGGATTTCTGTACAGATGCTAATATTGTCAATGGGAATGTAATTTGTGATCCTGGACCACAAAACCAGTCTTAAGGGTCAGTTTTTTTTAATTCAGATTTAAGATTTATGAATAAATACGCTTTACATTAATGTATGTTTTTTTTTAGGATAGGACAATATTTGGCCAAGATATAACTATTTGAAAATCTGGAATCTGAGGGTGCAAAAAAAATCTAAATATTGAGAAAATCATCTTTAAAGTTGTTCAAATGAAGTTCTTAGCTATGCATATTACTAATCAAAAATTAAGTTTTGATATATTTACGGTAGGACATTTACAAAATATCTTCATGGAACATGATCTTTACTTAATATCCTAATGATTTTTGGCATAAAAGAAAAATGGATAATTTTGACCCATACAATGTATTGTTGGCTATTGCTACAAATATACCCCAGCGACTTAACACTGCTTTTGTGCTCCAGGGTCACATTTGTAATTGTAACAGGGCTGAGACACAAGTTCGAGTCTATTTAATAACACACAATATCAAATAAAATCTAAAAAAAAATTAAGAGAGAGAAAGCTAGATTTATGTGCTTATATTTTGCATGAAGACAGGACAAATGCACATAAAGACAAAAAACATAAAATGTATCCAAAAAAATATAAAGCAATTCAAGTCATTTTGTAAACATATATTACTGTTCAAAAGTTTGGGGTTTGTAAGATTTTTGGAATATTTTTGAAGTCTCTTCTGCTCACCAAGGCTGCATTTATTTGATCAAAAATACATAAAAAATAGTGAAATATTATTAGAATGTAAAACAGCTGTTTTCTATGTGAATGTCTGTTAAACTGTAATTTATTTCTGTGATGCGCAGCTGTATTTTCAGCATCATTACTCCAGTCTTCAGTGTCACATGATCTTCAGAAATCATAATAATATGCTGATTTGCTGCTTAAGAAACATTTCTGATTATTATCAATGTTGAAAACACTTAATATTTTTGTGGAAACTGTGATGCATTTTATTTTTCAGGATTCACAGATGAACAGAAAGTCCAAAAGAAATCTTTCGTCACATTATAAATGTCTTCACTGTCACTTTTGATCAATTTAATGCATCCTTGATGAATAAAAGTATTAAAATCTCGTAAAAGGATCTATTTTTTCCTGACCTGGACGCCACAGCTCCGATCACAAACCCGACCTCTGTTGGCTCGCATCCCGTGCTGTTGTCAGACACCCAAACGGCCCCCAGACAGGCCCATACGAGCTCAGGGACGTACAGCAGGGCCCGCAGATACACCAGAGCTGGCACAGAGCGCCGAGGGCCTGCATTCATGATGGTTCCTAAAACAAAACACAGCCGCGTTAGCATTACACTGACGAAACCCTCCAGATATGAAGAAACCCCACCATCTGTCCGCTCACTTACCTTGAGCACTGAAATACACGACTGCACAAAGTGTCAAGATGATGACAGCCAGCAGAACCAGAAGAACTATGAGGTAATTATGCAAATTCGCTCCACCCTGACAATCAAACCGTCCCTTATGGTTAGTGTACAGAACTAAAGTCACGATCCACCTAAGAGACAAGACATGGCAAGAGAGGTTTAATACACAAAAATGTCTTTTGTTTATATGTTTACTATGGTTTTAGCACGTGTACCATAGTACTGCAATTAGATAATTGGCATGGTAATGACATATATTAATGAGCATGATCTTAGCACTTCCACAGTAAGAGAGTTGTTTGTATTATGGCATTTCTAAATACCGCGGTATACCGCTGGGGTGTATACAACGGTATCACACACTTCCTAGTCGTGTAGGAAGCTCAAAGGATCGTTATTTCGAGTGTTGTTGGGATTTATCTTACCACACAGCTCTGATAAACAGCTCGAAGGCACCAGGAAACACAAGATCATCGCTGGAGATCCGCCATCGGCGTCCGAACACCACCATTCCGGGCATCCTGACAGAATAACGATCTTCTCAAATTCAATCCAGATTTCCTTCCGCTTTCATGAATGTATTACAAAACCCCATTACACTGCCAGCCCGTAACCGCTCTCAGCATCTTGATATTGCGACATGTCGGGAATTAACGCCTCTTTCACTGACGTCTGACATGAAGAAACACCGCAGCGCAGCGCCGCTCGGTTTGTTGTTTACCCTGGTCTGTGCAGCAACGAAATGTGTCCGACTCCGTCAGATGACGTTCCAGCAGCGAAATAGTTCCGAGTGGAATTCAGTGAATCGGTTTCCGAACGAACACTTTGTTTAGTGTGTGTGTGTGTGTGTGTGAGAGAGAGTGTGTGTGTGTAGAGAGAGTGTGTGTGTGTGTGTGTGTGAGTGAGTGAGTGAGAGTGTGTGTTTAATGCTTTATTAATCCAATGCCACAAGAACAAGAGATATTACATATACACATTATCATATTAACATTAGCTGCCAGAGGGGGGGAAAAAAAGGGAAAAGGAGAGAGAATGCAGACATTCCCAAACTTTTTTTTGTCGTGTGTGTGTGTGTGTGTGTGAGAGAGAGTGTGTGTGTGTGTGTGTGTGAGAGAGAGAGTGTGTGTGTGTGTGTGAGAGTGTGTGTGAGTGTGTGTGTGTGTGTGTGTGTGTGTGTGTGTGAGAGAGAGTGTGTGTGTGTGTGTGTGTGAGAGAGAGAGTGTGTGTGTGTGTGTGAGAGTGTGTGTGAGTGTGTGTGTGTGTGTGTGTGTGTGTGTGTGTGAGAGAGAGTGTGTGTGTGTGTGTGTGTGAGAGAGAGAGTGTGTGTGTGTGTGTGAGAGTGTGTGTGAGTGTGTGTGTGTGTGTGTGTGTGTGTGTGTGTGAGTGTGTGTGTGTGTGTGTTTAATGCTTTATTAATCCAATGCCACAAGAACAAGAGGTATTACATATACACATTATCATATTAACATTAGCTGCCAGAGGGGGAAAAAAAGGGAAAAGGAGAGAGAATGCAGACATTCCCAAACTTTTTTTGTCATCTGAACATCTTTCATCTAATATATTTACTTAAAGTACCCCTGAGATTTTAAAATAAATATTTAATAATTAAGTATCACACCTGCATGCTCACGGTTCTGACGTTGGTTGATGGTCACATGACATGCAGGTAAACAAATAAAATAATAAATTTTTTTAGGAAGTGTTTTATTTCTTTTTATGCTATTTTAAAATTATTTAATTAAATTTTTTATTCATGTTGTTAATTTAAACGAATGGAATATATTTTCTTTTTGTATTTTTATATTAATATGGTACAAGATTATCCTATTTAAATCAATGTGATAAGTGAATAAGGTCAAAAGTAATCTAAAAGTAATCTGATTATATTACCGGAAATGTGTAATGTAATGGATTACGTTACAAACTACAATTTTTGTCATGTAATTTGGAATCAGTAACGGTAATCTACCCAGATCTGTGTGTGTGTGTGTGTGTGTGTAGCATATATATATATATATATCAGTGCAGTTTGTTGCAGCCATTAAAAAGTAATTCAGAACATACATTTTTAGTAATGTAATGGATTACGTTACAAACTACAATTTTTGTCATGTAATTTGGAATCAGTAACGGTAATCTACCCAGATCTGTGTGTGTGTGTGTGTGTGTGTAGCATATATATATATATATATATATCAGTGCAGTTTGTTGCAGCCATTAAAAAGTAATTCAGAACATACATTTTTGTTAGTCAACTTCTAAAAAAATTAACTACCTTTTTTAAATAAGTCTGTCATGCAGTCAAGTCATAAACGTATTTTCAGCACGTTTTATTTGCAATATTTGCAACAATAATAACAACTCGCCTTCCGCCCACTGATCAGTGCTTCCGCCCCACAAGTCAAATCGTCGGTTCTCGGCTTTAGTCGGACGCGCTCGGAAGAGCAACAGCAGCTGATGGAACGTCGTATTGCGCATGCGCGAGTTTAACAGTTACTGTAACGCAGAACAGGTTTGCCGTAGTCGTTACAACGTGACAGATCAGATATGTAAATGTTACGTTTTATGGTATATAACATTGTAATTACATCAGTATACGATTCTACCAATAGACTTTTATTTAATCTGTGTTGATGTGTTTTAAACTTAAGCTAATTTGTACGATTTTTTTCGTTTGTATAGATAAATCTGCTGTTGGCAATAACACCTCAGGTAACGTTAGCACTGAGACTAGATATGTGAAGCAAACAATGTAAGTATTGCCTAAACATCCTCCTCATAATCCATCATTTGTACTTTACTAAATGATTCACGAGGCGGAGTTCAACCGCTTGAGTCGATTCATTCCGATTCGTGAGTGAATCGAGAAACGATTCACTGAACCGATCCGATTCAAAAGAACGATTTGTTCACATCAATACAAGATTCTCGCTTTGATATTTAAAAGATGCTGGATTTTCATGTTAATGAGGTGTCTGTGATTAATCTAAGCGAGTCATTTGATTATCAAAAAAATAATAAAAATCATGGCATTACATTTTTAAAACAGGCAGCATTTCTCATAAAATCTTTATTTTAGGTAGTGCCACCATGCAAAAGCTCAATTAAAAGCAAATCTTAAACCTCTAGCTATAAAATAAAATAGTAATTATTGTGATAAAAAAAAAAAAAGTGTGTATTAAAACTCTGCTCATATACGTAGATCAGAAATAAAATGCACATCTCATCAACATACATGTTGATATTAATAGAGTATGGGCAATACTGGTCAAGACTTACCGGACAGGATCAATTCATGATCAATATCTGTCCATTGATTCACATTCCAGCAAAAAGAAAGGAAAAAACCCTCAAAGCAAATCAAAACTACAGAAGAAGTTTCAAAAAAATAAATGTAAAAATCCTAAAAATAAGCTGCATAATAATCTGTGAGAACATTTGTACGGTTTATTTTTTGCTTCTTTTAGAAGCCATTTACAGTGATAAAGGCAGTGTCAATACTGTACGCTGCCAGACAGTGGCATGGTTCCCAAAAGTTGAGCCGTTTTGAGTACAAATTAGAAATTTACATCTTAAACCCAATTAAGCAGTTTGGGGAACCACTATATTATGACCGACCTTCTTTAACAAAGGGTTACTGCATTAAGAAATTGAGCAAACACTTATTTTCCATTCAATTCCATCCCATGGAGCAACAAATACTCCCATAATCTTTTTGAAAACATGTGCATTTAATCCGATTGAAAATACTCTTACAAACAAAATCAATATTCATCATAAGAATCAGTCCCTGCCTGTTTGCACAATTTTCAGCTCGTTTATGATGCCGCCGGTCAAATCATAGCACGCTCTTCATGTAGAAAACTTTTTCTTTGATACAGAATAATAAAAAAGGGTAAGACAAGATGCATAAAACGGGAATCCGAAGACTCTGTGAAGCCGTGTTTCGGCCCGGGCTTGAATCCAGAGCAGGACTGGATCTCTTCTTTCGTACTCCGTCTCAAGCATCTTACTCGTCCTCTGCGTCGCGTGCCGCTTCATGCGCTGCTGTCTTTCAGATCTAAGCTGGCAGACTCAGCTTCTTTCCCTTCAACACTGAAACGAGGAAAAGAAACACTTGAGTTGCTGTCAACTATCAGATTGAAGCACAGAAAGGTGATTTGCAAAGATTCATTACAAAACATTATACTCACTTCTTCTGTAGATGAGGCTGGATCACGAATGATTCGCGCGAACTTAGATGCATTTATGTAGATCGGGGGCGCATTCCCTTCAAAATCAAACGTAATCCACTGCGTCTTCAGCGGCTCAGATGTCGGGAGTAAATGACGACTGCTATGTTCATTATTACATCCAACAACAGAACACCTCAATCTGCTCCGGCGGTGAAACAATGGCGGACTGATGACAGCTCACTGAGGGCGGAGCTAAGGTAAGACGCCAGTCCAGTCTGTGCTGAAACGCTACTGTCAATCAAACTATCGTGGGAGGGGCCTGTCTGTGTGAGGTCACACAGACAGGCATCTGAGATCGGCTCGATTTGAGAAAGGGGAAAACATTTAACCAGATTTTTAAAAAAACACTGGGTGGATTTTTATCATTTTAGGGTGGTTGTGTACACACACTGCCAACACACATTTCAGTTCAACCAACTTGTAAAAGTGCATGTAGCATCCTATGACCCCTTTAAGACAGTCACAACAGTCTTGCAAAGCATCCTGATAAGCATTTAGTTAAGAGCCCTCCGGAATCAACACAGCCATACAATTAAAACCTAAACTGCAATGCTGATGTATTGCTGCACGTTCACAGGTCGAGCGCTTGTGATGATGCATTTACAGTGAATGATCTACAGCACTGAATTAAAACAATCAAGCCTGAGATGAGGGTTTCCTTACTGATTACAGTCATTGCTAAACTAGGAGCACTTTGCCACAGTGATTTCTCAATCAACTTAAGTTTAAAACACTTTTTTTTTTTTTTTTCCTGATTGAAAAGCAATAAATTATATACATCTGCAACATCTAAGACACTGGTTCTCAGTCCTTTTTACTCCAAAGCAATACTCCAAAAGCAATGATCTCCCTTAATATTTTCACTGTTAAACACAAAACTGCTCGTTTTTAAACTTTATTAACAGAAACAAGGAACGTCAGCATATTAAAAATAAATCACTTTTGTGGTTAAATTAGTGATTCCAAATGTTCTAAGTTTGCATTCACCTAAATTAAAACAAAACACAAAATGTCAGTTTATATGTTGCACATCTTGATTTTTAGCATTTGAATAAACTTAAATAAGCGTGTGAGTAAATGAATGAGTAAACAAAATAAATGTGTTTATGTATAGCACACACATTTTTTTTTTTAATCTATTATTCGACTATAAATTAAATATAATCGGTGCTGTCAAACGATTAATCGCATCCGAAATAAAAGTTTGTTTATATGTGTGTGTCTGTACTGTGTATATTTATTATGTATATATAAATACACACACACATGCATTTATATATTTAAGAAAAATAATTTGTTCATATATTTATAAAATATATAATATATATAATGTATGTGAAATATATATAAAATATATACATGTATGTGTGTATATATATATACACACACAGTACATAGACATATATTATATTTTGGATGCGATTAATCACGATTAATCGTCTGACAGAACTAAATATAATATATAATTAATATAAAACACATTTATTTCACTTGCATTGATATACGTAGCCAGTTGTTTTCTTTTAGTTGCCCCTTTTGAGTACAAACGTTTTTCTTCTTGCTGTGTAAATGTTTTAAATTCTGCATATTTTTCATAACCATCTCTTAATCTTTGGCAAAAGAGAGAAGAGACTTGTGTTGACTCACTCACATGTATTTTTAAAACAAGCATGGGCATTTCAGTCATTTGTTAACTCAAGTACCTGACCGATTAATCGAGTACTTGAGTACCTGGAGTTAGTATGTTTTCAGGATTGATCACGGTTGAACCCCAAACCAGTTTACACTAGCGCAAGCACATTTTGAGTACCACATCTGAGGGATTCCAAACCAAAAACACTCACCTTTTGTTACGTAGAGATAAAAGAAATCACAGTACAGGATTGTCTGAACGACGCCGGCCACGATGGCGATCATGTCGAAGAAGCCTTCGAAGTAGAAGCGCCAGATCCAGTTAATGAGATACAGAGCGCGATAGAGGCCGAGGAAGAAGAGGTAGTGTGTGGTGATGGTCTCGGCTTCTCCGGTCTTGCTGATCATGAACAGCTGTGGGAGGATAGACACGGACTCCAGATAGATGGAGAACGTCCACATGATCTAGAACCAAGAGGTGACGAGAACATAAACGGAGTGAGCCAGTGTTTTCAACCAGAGAACGAATGCAAGTAGGGCTGGGCGGTATATCGAGTTTGTACGATATATCGATATTTTCTTTATAAGCGATTCGATATGAGGCGATACCGTTTACAGTAGTTTGATACGAGCGCATCGGGACACAGACTGAGTTGCTGCGGAGAAAGTGCATGATCCAGTTTGTTCTAAACATGTGACAAGCTTCATATTAAGGACTACTGCAGAAGCCGACAAGCGCCTTGTTGTTTTTGAACAGAAGCCAATAAGTCCATTTCAGCGAATCAGCGTGCTGCGTTCAGGTCAGGTGACAAGGCTACTTTCACTTTGAAAAGACATGCTAGCTGAGAGGAGTTTCGTCAAAGCTGACTAAAAGTTATCGAGGATGGATCATTTCGACAAACTTGATGAACCCGTGATATCTTCTTCGGGGCATAAAAGGAAAATAAAAGCTGAAAATGTTTCACTGAACCTTTTAAACGGTAGGGCTGGGCGGTATATCGAGTTTGTACGATATATCGATATTTTCTTTATAAGCGATTCGATATGAGGCGATACCGTTTACAGTAGTTTGATACGAGCGCATCGGGACACAGACTGAGTTGCTGCGGAGAAAGTGCATGATCCAGTTTGTTCTAAACATGTGACAAGCTTCATATTAAGGACTTTAAAAGCTTAGTTTATAGCTTCATTTCGCATATTAGTCATATGCTCTGACAGAAAGGCTACTCGCGCTGATTAATGTGTTTGAGATGTGCTGTCTTCCTGAATGCAGAACTTACATTTCACTGGTATATTCTCCGTCTGTAAATGTTAGAAATATTTCCATGTTTCTGTCAGGAGTGCATGAGCCTATTCTCCGCTAAACTTCACAGACTTCAGTGAAACAGACAGAGCTCGATTAAATAGGAGCGCAATAATTCTGACTAAAATATACATTTCGCT